TACTCGGCCAATCTGACATTAGATCGGCCTCGATCTATTTGAATTTATATTTCAACGGTTTCATTTACATCAATTTGCATCCACGGCTTAAGTCGTGCTGGTTCAAGAATGCCTCTGTATGGTAGCTGGGTCAATTGACAGTCGTCCACGTCTGTTATCTCGTATCTGTCATTTGGAAGGACGCGACTCACTTTATAAGGCCCACGATATTTGGGTGAAAATTTCTTGTTTGACCCCGGTGTAGTTTCTATGTTACGAATAGCAACGAAGTCGCCTACAGAATACTGTGACGGTGGCCTATGTTTTAGTGCATAACTAGCCTCGTTCCTTTGTTGCGACCGTGTTATTCGACAACTCGCCTCATGCCTTATTTCTGTTAGATTTCGGGAATTTTCTGATTGGAATTTGTCATTAAGAAATTCAGCTAATTCGTCCACAATTGGACCCCTTTGATCACATCCAAACAGCAGTGTACTAGGAGTTTCATGAGTACTTGAGTGGACGGAATTGTTAAGGACGTATTCAACACGATAAAGCATCTTGTACCAATCAGACTGGTTTATGGGCTCAGACAGTTTCCCAAGCATGGGGGCCAATACGCGATTGACACGTTCAACCTGCCCATTTGCTTGAGGGGCTCCTGTGGCTACCTTTATATGCTGAATACTTCGCTTTTTCAGAAACTCTTCAAAATCAAGGGATGTGAAACATGAACCTCGGTCAGATATTACTCTTCTGGGTCGGCTATAGTATGCGAAGTACTTTTCCAAACAGGCATTTACTTCACGAGTCTTGGTAGAGCTTACCGGGTACAGCTTTACAAACTTAGTAAACGAATCAATGACAACCAGAATATGCTTGCTTTTGGATTGAACGCACGGTAAAGGACCCAAATGGTCAATGTGAATTGTATCGAAAGGCACTGGTGCCTTTGGAATGCTGTGCAAGGTTCTATGATGAATACTTCTGGGAACAGAGTGCAAAATACAAGGCAAGCAATTGCGAATGTATGCTTCCACCTTAACCTTCATCGTTGGGAACCAATATTTGGCCTTTAGTTCCTCAATACATTTTCCTGACGCTAAATGACCCAGCTTCTCGTGGACCAAACGAATTATCTGCTCTTGCATAAAAGTTGGTACATACAGAAGTAAAGTCTCATGGTCGTCAACTCTGTAAACCACTCCGTCAATTAAATCAAAGTTCTTAACACTACCTTTCTCCAAATCTTTCCGAATGGTTATGATCTCACTATCTCGCATTTGCTCTGTTCGCAGAAGCAATTCGACATCTCCTGGGGCTACACCGACCAATCCAATAATATCCTTTGACAACATATTTTCACGCATTTTGAACAATTTGGCTAAGGACTCGAAAATCTCTTCCTCCTCAAATGAAGTTACGACATTTCCCACAGGGTCATTACTTTCAGACTCTAACGGATTCACCTGTCTGCTAAGCGCATCAACGTGAGTCATTCCTGATCCTGTCCGATGTACAATGGAATAATTGTACCCTTCCAGTTCCAAGGACCAACGGGCTATTCTAGGATTAACAGCTTTTTTACTCAACGTTTGGACCAAAGAGTTACAGTCCGTCACTATGCGAAAAGGCCTATGTTCCAAATATATCCTAAACCGTCGAAGGGCATATATTATTGCAAGAGTTTCGAGCTCAAAGCTGTGATATTTCGCCTCATCTGCAGTAGTTTTTCTTGAAAAGAAGAAAACTGGATGGAGTTTCCCATCATCCTGCTTCTGCAGAAGAACAGCTCCATACCCATGCGAGCTAGCGTCCGTGTGCAGCTCCGTTTCGCGGTTCGCACTATACAATGAGAGAACTGGGGGTGCGGAAAGACTTTGTTTAAGTGTATTGAAAGCTGCTCTCTCTGTTTCTGACAAGGGAAATTGTCCTTTTCTTTTAAGGGCATCCGTAAGAGGTTTGGCTATCTTTGAAAAGGATGGAACAAATTTTCGAAAATACGAAAATAGACCAATACAGGAATGCAGTTCTTTGCCATTTGTAGGCTCCGGATAGTTTTGGATCGACGCAATATGGCTATTGTTTGGTGTTATCCCCTTAGCACTGACATATCCCAAATAATCTATACTTCTTTCTAAGAATTTGCTCTTTTTTATGTTCACCTCCAAACTATACTCGGTTAACTTTTTAAATAGTTTCTCCAGTACAACCATATGGTCCTCAACAGTACGTGTCGCCACAATAATGTCATCCATATAAACTAAAAGATCTCGAGATTTCACCAAAGAGTCCAGAACATTTGAAATAAACCGCTGAAATACAGCGGGCCCGTTTTTCAGTCCAAACGGCATTCTTAGGTATTCATATTGGCCGTCGGGGGTCACAAATGCGGTATATTTAATGGATTCGTTATCCATACCTATTTGGTGGAATCCGCTTTTTAGATCAATTACTGAGAACACTGACTTTCCCCCCAAATATTCTAGACAATCCTCATTAAGTGGCATAGGAAAATTGTCACGAACTGTCAATTTGTTAAGGCCTCTGTAGTCAATGCACATCCTAATATCACCCGATTTCTTCTTCACCAATACGATTGGTGACGCATATGGCGAATCGCTCTCTCTTATTATATTATTTGTCAGCAAATCCTCGACTATGTCTCTAACTTTATCCCTTTCGTAATACGACAGTCTTGGGGGGCTACTATGAAAGGGTGTATTATCATTTAGCTTGATTGTCATAGAACACTTCGGCGAACAAGGAGTAACTGGGCTTTTGTTTAAATAATGAACCTTAATTAAATCCCGGCATTTGTCAGCTATACCTAGTCCGAATTCCAAGCCGACATTTAGACTTTCATCAACAAGACTAACATTCTGTGATAATTCAAATTCACGTAACCGTTCACCATACAACAGCTCAGCTTCTTTGGCCTTGGATGCATTACGTTTGTTACTAACTTCCAAAGCGTCATTCATTTCATTCAGTTCCTTAAGGCTATTGTGATCGTCTGTATTACAATTAAATAACTTTGATTTATCGAGTACGGATGCACAGAAAGATTGATAAGCGAAACCAACTATTTTATCAGCATTATAATTTTGGCAGTTACATCTATGTTTAACATCTGTCAAAAGTTTTAAATTAAGTATACTTAGGGCATTTCTTCCCAAAAGTAATGGGGTTGGTAAAATCAAATCGGGAACTACATAAACTGGTATTTCATAATATTTGTTTTCAAACAGAACTGAACAAGTAATTTCTCCAAATGTTGGAATGGACTGATAGCCAAAGCCACGGTATTTACTATTTGATAATTCGCCTTTAAAAATTCTTAGTGGTACAAATGATATTGCTAAAAAGCTTATTGGGCTTCCGGAATCTAACAAAGAAAAAATATTTTTTACTTCTGTGCATCCGTTACTTTTATATATTCTTAAACTTACTAGTTTTATGTAAGACTGGTCTTCTTGCGGCGATAAGTTGTTCTTCGTAGCGACGCCTACGATCTTCTTAGGGCATTGTGCAGCTTTGTGGCCAACCTCAGAACAGTTAAAGCAAGCATTCGGTGGTCTCTTCGGTTGCTGACAATCCTTGCTTATATGGCCAGCTTGATTACAGTTGTAACATCGAATATCCTTTGTGGGCTCAGAACTCAGCCGACGGGGTGCAACTGTTTTCCGAACTGCAATTGTACGTACTTGTTCGTAACGTAAGAGACCTTTTCGCAACTCATCCATTGTTTTGCAGAAATACAGGGAACTCGACCGGCCGCTGAAGTCTTCCAAGCCGTCCACTATGCATTTTATAATGTCAGTGTCTTCCAAATCACTTTGTTTTGCAATATTGCGCATTGCAATAAAATACTGCAACAAGGATTCGTCCTTTTTAAGCTTACGGCTTTCCAATAACCTGCCTACTTCCAAACGTGTAGTTTTGGCGCCAAACACATCAGTCAAAGAATCTCGCAGCTCTTTCCAAGTTGATGATTTTTCGTAAGTGATGTAGTTCTTTGCAGAGCCGCGCAGCATTCTCAGAGCAAGTAGCCAAGTTTGTCTGTCGGTCATTTCAAAAGTTTCCGCTGCACGTTCGACTTCACACACCCATACATTAATTGACAGATGATCGTCTCCGGAAAATGCTGGAATCGTTGCTTCCACATCTCGTATGTCAAAATTCGGCAAGCTTCGGGGTTTTTCCAACATGGCTTCACTATCATACATACTAGCCTGCAGTTCTGCTAAGCGTTTCCTGGCAATACACACATCAGACATTCTTTCCAAAATATTTAACTCCTGATCGAGTGCGGCCAACGTTGTGATATGTTGGTTCTTGCCCGCGTTCGCAGCAACATTCTGATCTGGCAATGCATTTCCAACTTCTTTATGCTCATGTTCGTTCACTAATTTATACTTTTTCCCAGTAGAAGGGACGTCATCGTTTCCAAAAACATACTGGTGATCGCCGCCACCTGCGACGTCATCACGTTTCGCCAATTTTTCCCCAGTGACAGGGCCACCATCCACTTTTCCAAAAACATACTGATGATCGTTGCCGCCTGCGACGCCACCAGATTTCACCTCACCGTACCGCTTCACTCCACTCACGCCGTCGTCGCGCCCAGAACAGCCGAGAGTATTCACAATGTCGTCATCACCGACGCCATTTTTGCGCATTCGCACTAGCTCCTCAGCAGCCGCAGTTTCCATTTCTTGTGAAATGCCTTCTTGTGAAATTAATTCAGAGAATTAGCATGTCCATCCAATGCTATTTCACGCTGAGCATGTATTAATGTAGATTGGCGAAGAAGTGGGAGGGCTCACCCCACATCTGAAGTGTAAAATTCAACTTTATTTCCGATATTTAACAACTTTTTAAAATAATTAAGTTTCAGAGCGTCTCTTTTTACATGTGCTCTCGTTTGCTTCTTCTTTTCATCTATCTATCTTTATTTTTTATCGACTTATATAATATCTTATATCGACTAGTCTTATTTCGATAACTTACTAAATATGTACATTTTATACATTTTTAATATTTTTTTCTACAATCTCAAGAATTTAACATATTTCAAGTGGGTATTTAAATTGATTTTCTTTTCGGCATGTTCTTTAATAAATAACTGGTATTTTAGGGTTTAAGCAAATATAGTTCACAATTAACAATTTTCTATATGCTGCTACCAATTTCCCAGCTGCGTTTAGGAAGGCTGCACTGACTTTTTATTGGGGTACCCAAAAAACCCAACACTTTTCAGCTCGATTAATAATTCCTGATCATTACCGATGGCCTTATAAATGGCCTTTTCTAGCTCGTCATACTGAAAATGTGGCTCAAATGGCATATCGTCCAATGACTGAAACAAAACATTTCCACGTTCGTTTCCTATTGCAACTGTACGTCCACAGTTGGAAAATCTATTAGCAGTAATACTAAATTGAATGATTCCTAAGGTACTTCAAGTTTTCTCTTACTGTGCCACTGTATTAAAGGAGGAGTCCATTTCATGTTCTGCCATTGGTTTTAAAATATTTCGCCTTATGTCCCAAATTTGTACAGTTTCACGGTTTAGGGCAACAATTATGGTCGAATGAGTTGGACTCCAGTTAGCCCAATGCACAGGTTGAAAATTATCTTGTAACTCAATAAGCGGCCGCGTTATCCCATCTAACCAAATACGCACATACCTGCAATAGAGACAAGTGGGGTTAGTTATAATACTTAAGAACAAAGAACACAGTACCAATCGTTTCCACATGTGAGGAACAATTTGGGAGACCATGGAGAAAACTCCATTACATTAACACCACCATCGTGACATTTTAGGACTTCAAGATACTGATGCTGATAGTTTATGGAGCACTTATGTATACACCCCTCATCTGTGAGCACATAGTATATATCTTTGTGTAGTGGATGTGTGGTAACATATAAGCCTTGCGGATGTCTGTTTGACTCGCAAGTCATTACAGGAGATATGGGAACATGTATACCCTCCGGTGCGCCCTCCACGCGCTCTAAGGTCATCTGATTGAAGCCCAGGAGAAAGGGGCTTTTGATTATACGAAAGCGCGTTACTGATCCGTCCTGTGAAAGGCTCAAGAAGGGATCAATTTCACTCCCATCCCCTGACTCGGACTGTTTAATCCACCGTATGGAAACCACAGGAGAACAGCCTGGCGAAGTGCTGCGCTGCGATATGGCAATAGGAGGATCGCTTGGATTAGTCACATCACGCACCTCCACGGTACCATCGTACATCCCAATTGCTATTAATGATGGGAGAAATGGTGAAAAGCGTACTGCCGTCACTGGTATTTTATAGTAAAAGGCTCTCTCCGGTTCGCCAGGATTCTTAATGCTCCAAACGAACACGTCGCCACATTTGGGAACGTGCTGAGAGGAGAAAGAGTACAGGCCATAGGCAACTACAAAAATGTCACCATTACTGCGGCAGAAGCTAATGTCACTGACAGCTTTTCGTTCACCAAAACTTGGCGAAGGTATGCAACGGAAGAGCAAATCCATGGAATAGTTGTATTCGGCATCAGTGGAGCACCGATCGATGTACTCAAAATTTCGAAAACGTCTCATGCCAGCCTCGTGGATGTTACTTGAAATCGCACGTCCCATAAACATAATGGCGTTCTTAAAGCTAGTACTGTCAAAAAGGCGATTCTCCACGGTCTTCGCCTTTTCTCTCTCTTCGTCTTCTTCTTCGTTGTCATATGCTTGATCTGTTTGCATCTCTGAGTCCAACCGTATCAAGCTCTGGTTAAGTGTAGTTATGGTATGTTTGCCTACTAGATTGTGCACTGTATCGTACATCTCGAAATTAGAAACATAAGAGCCAACCGTAGCACTATCGATCATTATTGTGTTTACTGCCCGAGAAGTCATAAGCACGACGTTTGTCTGTGCGTCGTTGTCTGATCGTCGTCGAACCTTTCCCTTGCCAACGGTCAGGTAATCGTATTGACGGTTGTCCTTTTCAACTTCATCGGCTTCCGGTGAACCCTTCAGGACGGTTGTGCTATTTTGTGTGAATATCTCCACAAATTCGGTCTTCTTCAGGGTCACTTTAACAAAGGATTTAGTGTAGGGCACTAGCGCCGCTTCTTCTTTTGGTTTATCCTCAGTTGGCGGTTCAAATAAAATAGTATCGTACATTATCTACAAAGTATTCAAATATTCATCGTTTGATCTCAAACTATCTGTGGGACTTACGCCATTCATAAGATCGTCTATAGACTGCTTATTACCACCCACACCAGCTCGCATGCTTCCGCGGGTTCTAGACTGAGACTGACTCAAATTTACATGCACAAAAGCCATATTTTCCACTTCATCCTTTAGACGGTCATTAAAGACCAAAAACTGCTGGCTGTAGAGGTCATCAGGTATGTACTTCGGGGTCATATCTACTTCTTCGCCGTTCACATTTTCTGTGACCTGATTATGGTAATGGTAACCAATAATAGCGAATTGAACAAGAATATGAAATAAGTGAGACAGTGAACCTTAAACTGTTGGCGATTTTGCAGATCTGCTTGGATCTCTTGTGCATAAGAATGTAAGTCCTCCCGCCTTACATACTCCTCCTTCTTCTTTTTTGCTGGTTCATCAGTTGCTTCTTGAATGACCTGAACAGACTTCTTCACCCCCTTTGTTTCTATGGTTGATTTTTTCTTGAAGAACAATATTTATAATGGGCCTTTTAAACTATGAAAACTACATATAATACATACCATGGTGAAATTCTATATTAAGATATATTTACTTATTTGTATATGCATATATATATTGTCAAACTTATTGACAACTAACATGTAACTTATTAAGTTTCAAGCATTGTTATAGCCTGTATATTAGTTTTGTGCGCATGTATGTAACACAGAGAAGGAGGCGTGGCAGAGCCCACAAAGTGTATATATTATTGATCAGGATGACAAGACAAGTCGATATAGCTATGTCCATCCGTCCGTCCGTCCGACCGTCTGTCTGTATGAGCGCAACGATCTCAGCAAGTACAATAGCTAGGATAACCAAACTTGGCATTCAGGTTCCCCTAAGCCCCAGGCAGATCGAGTTTGTGTTTTTTTTCTGATAACCCCCCCCCCCCCACTTCCCCGCAATTCATGTTTTTCCTAACTCCGGTAATTCTTGGAATTTTGAACTCAAATTTGACATATACATCCAGTTCGTGGTTATTTGTCCGTATGACAAGTGTCATCATGATAGTTCAATTATGAAGAAAGTTATAGCCATAAATAAAATCGCTGCCCATGCTCTGCTTGCAGCGCTGCCCGCAGCTGTTGTTGTTGCTGCTTGGGTTCAACTTTGTGTTTCATACATACACGCATGTATACACGTATAGGCACGTAGTGTAAATGTATGCTGTTAAACTGCACATAAACATGTCTTCTATGTATGTATTAAAAACATTTTCTTCATTAATTTAATTAATTAATTCAATTGTTTTTTATTAATTTTCTTTTTATTTAATTTTTTTTAATTCTCCTTTTTTGTGGAGAGTGCAGGATATTTTACTGTCGGGCTTGCTCGACTGTAGCGTTCTCTCTTGTTTTCCACTAGAAGACATTCACTTTATGTAAATTATGAAGGTTTGCTATAAAACATAAGGGTTTTAAGCTTGTGTGGTACACGTATATGTAGGTTATTCAATAGTCGGATTAGCTGTACTATACTCAAAAGATTTTCATATTTTATTATTTGCTTTGCCTTTTGGCCCAAATTTTTTAATGCTCATTAAAAGGCAACAGTCGATTTGACAAAGCCATTACAATACCCCTCCTAAGATAACTCGGCGTACAACATTCCCAATGTTGACAAAAAGCATTATGAGGCCGCACACAACTCATTTATAATTATAATGGACTTTTTACGAATATTTTCAAATAAAAAGAGAAAAAGTTTATTCTGTGTCCCTTTCATAAAGCTTACGAGTTCCTTTTGGCAATTCCATTTTTATTTTACTGTGACAGTTAACTTTTTTCTAATCATGAAGCACAACATACAGTACAAGAGAAAAGAGCCAACATCATAAAAGACAAATGAGCCGCAACCGAGTAGGCAAAAAATGGAGAAAAAAAACCGAAGCAGTCTCATTGTCTGCGCTACTTTGCGTTGGTCAACTGGCTGATTGGGAAGGGCTGCGGGGGATGGCTAACGGCCAGTACTGAAATCAGTTTGTATTGTATTCTTTTTAGCCATCTAATATTTTATGTATTTTGCGTTGCAATCATAAAAGGGCGAGGGACTGAGCAGCCAGCGCGGAAATGGCTACTTTTCTAAGCTTTTAATAATATCCTTTTTATGTCCACTAAATGAAGGATATAAAGTCAACACTTTGCACAATAAGGCGCCAGAGGATGTGCCAGTGAGCATGTCCCCGCAGGACTCCTTGCCGCTTCGGCTGCTTTGCGTATTTTCAACGCCTTTTTCCTTGATAAAAAGTTGGACTTCTTCTTAGTTCTATGCCCGTGCGGCGCCCGTTTTCCTTCCCTTTCCCACTTCGCTTCTTAGTTGCTTTTCTATTCCCATCGTCCTAGTCTTGTTGCTATGTTTCTCGGTATCTGGCTACTTAGTTTGCATAAGTTTGCGTTGCCAGGCGCTTCCGGTTAATGTGGTCAGAAGCAGCCCGGCTCAACAACAACAATAACAGCAGCAGCAGCATCAGCAGCAGAAACAACAACATGCCCAACAAATAATAAAAGCCAGCCAAGTAGACATTTATATGGAGGGTCTTCTTCTACACTTGCTTGTGTGATTTCCGCTTGAGTGATGTGCATTGGCCGCCAACGGCATTCTTATGCCAAAAAGTGAACATTAAATGTCGCCAGCGGGGCCATCAATCTTTTTCTCCTTGGCCAAGGGATTGTAGACGAAATGGTCTTTTCTAACGCTGCCCAACTTAAAGTAATGCCTCAAATCAATAAAATCAATTTATGCCAGCCAGAAGCGGAGCACCAATAAATTTAAGTATCCCGCACTCATTCTGTTATTTGGCGCCCTGTACGTGTATTAGAAAAGTAGCAACATTTGTCAAGATTTTGCTTTTAGTGAAGTGCACTTACAGATGTAATATAGTATGTATATTCCTTTAGCCATGTATAATACAAGTATACTTGTATTTAAAGTGACTTTAAATTGTGACTTACAACTCCAATAAGCTTAGAATTTAAGAATCAAAAATCGAATTTTAAATCGATGCTATAGGTATTACACCCACACAGAACATTCTATATTCCTCTAATGTATCTTCGTCTATCTCTCCCTTCAGCTCTCAAATATTATAATTAAATTAGCTATGATATATGTAGAAGAAACCCTGTCTTAAGCCAACTGAAGAATTTAGTTAATCGAAGTACCGAACACTAAAGTATTTAGTGATTATGTGTTCGTATGCCGAATTTCTTTATGATAGACCGATTTAACAGGAAATTGATGTTGGTGCTTTGGTTGACTCCAAACATGCCCACACAGACATGAATAGACACGCATAGACATGCATACCACATCACATAGACGCAATTGCTATGTAAATGTGCAATTATACAACCTTTACGTGAGTTCGAATAACGAGGGAGGTAAAATAGATAGACTTTAGCTTCTTTACTTGTTTTCTCTTTAATTATGCTGTTACTTTAATAACTTAAATTAAACTTTTGGCTAAATAAAAATATAATTTAAGCTAGGAGTTTGGTCTTGTTTACAATTTTACATTTATAATTTTAATAAATCTATTGGCAAGGTCAATAGGGTGCGCCCTCTTAAGCCAGCCTCTCATCAAACCTTCTCCGTTTCAATAGACGTCGTGCTGAAACATTTACATGGGTTCGGAGACGCCTCATGTATTGTGAAGCTTGCTCATTGGAGACGTCACCAACATTCTGCAGTCCAAGGTCCTTTTCTAGTTAGGAGACGAAAGATTAGGATTTTCTCCAGGTGGGATTTTGCAGCGATTCTGTATACCTGAAAGCCATATCGCTGAACGCCCCTAGAAGGGGGTAATAACTCTACTATAGTACATAGTAGGAAAATAGTATAGCATTGGTATCTTATATTTCTTGTAAAAATCTATATTCTACATTTGATTGCATACATGACAGACACCCTAAAAAAAACAATAATCAGAAAAATGCCAATGAACAATTTGTCGTCAATTAATTACAACAAGTTTGACGACATCGGTATGACTTTACTTGAACAACTTTGCTGACTTCCTGAGCAATTGACCGACTTGGAGCATATCCATACATACTTGAATATAACGGTATGTGTGTATGTAGTTATTTGATGTGTTAACAGTCAAAGCCCTAAGGGTTGCAGGGTTAGTCGTGGATGCTCTTCAAGTGGTTCATGTACTTATGACATAATTGAAACGCTCAGCCGATTAGGAAAACAGTATGTACTATATAGTGTATTTGTAATATCAAATATGGAGTTGATTGTTGTTGACGCCAATAGAAACAACAAGAACTATATGAACAGCAACAGCAGCATCAACAACAACAACTATGTATTACACATAAAGTTTTTGGGCAAGACCTAATTGAGTTACATATTTGCTGCTGCCATACATAGATCCTCATCCACATCCACACCCAACCCCAGTCCAAGTCTTAGTCACACATCACGACAAGTTACAAGCGCAAACTTTCTTTTCTGGTAGTATGTAGTTGTCTTGTTGGGGAAACCAAAACTTTACATTGTTTAATTTCGACAAATGTAAGACACTCGAAAGCGATTCACAGAAATCCACCCTGCCAGTAATCTTTTGTTTGTCGTGTGAGTTTCCATGTCTCCCTGCGACTGTACTATATGTATGTACAAGTATATGTGTGAGCTCAAATTACTTCACATGTTTCTTAACATGGCATAATCTTTACTTGCTTCCTCCAGTGCCGCTTTCTTTTTCTTTGTACAGCAGAAGTTCGTTCGTTTGCACTACTTATTCATTTACGTAGCTTATAACTACCAATGTGACTTGGTGGCGGATGGGGTCGATTGGGGGCGGATGGGTTCGGTTCGGTTGGGAAGTTTGTGGGGTTCAAGTTTGCAGTGGTTTCAGTTTCATTAGAACGATTAGTATGTGTAAATCTGTTTTGGTGTAGTTGGCTCTGAAATGGTAGTGCTACATTATTTCTTCTTCTCATCAGTGGAGTTTCTTTAATTGAGCTCCTGCTCCATTAGCATATGCGTAATATAAATGATTTGAGGTTCATCATATGAAAAATTACCTCATAGCTTCAGCAAAGTGCTGGACCAAACATGCAACATGGTTACAAATTTTCGAAAGATCCAATGACAAAAGTAATTTTTAACTTCCAGTTGCAGCCATATTGTGATTGTGTGTGTGTGTGTATTTTCATCATATGCACATATACATATGCATTATTTATTAGTTATTTTATGTAGATTGCAAAAATGCAAACTCAATTGTAGTGGCCAGAGATCCTGAGGAAGGCTGAGAGTAATTTAAGCATAATAAGAAACATTAAGTTTATGAATGATATAAACATGAAATACACTATGTATGTATAAGGATTAGCATAAACTTTTTGAAAATACACCATTAGTACAAGTTTTCTTAGTCTAAAAACATTGGAACATCGATGTTTTCCAGCACTTCTCTAGCACAGATTAAGCTATATTGCAAAAGTCATTGAAATTGCTAGTACAATACCACAACAATTTTTTGGTAGCTTATAATACTTGTATTTCATCAAAAAACGCATACATTTTGAAAGTAAAAATTAAACGATAAACGATCACTGTGTTAATCTACAATCAGACATGCAAAGAAAGTATATAGCCTATAAGTTAGTATACTTGTAGAACTATCGATAAGTAGCTTTACTTGAGTCACATCATTTTAATTATATTTTTGCGAAATTCAACCAAGTTCGTGTGAAAACTATTTGGTTTAGCATACAAATTTCTCAACATGTGGAAGCTAAGTAGTCGAAAAACTTAACTTTTTTTACGTAAGCTTGATGATTTTATTTTTAAGATTTATTCAGCTACTACAGCATTCTAGAATTGACAAATTATAAGGAAATATGCATACATGTACATTAAATGTAAACTTCATAACGATGCGCCATAGCAAATGTGTATACCTCTTTATCCGTACGCCTTACCAAGACAATTTCCAATGCCCAATTTGATTTCGATATCTTAAAAAAAAAAGAAAACTTTTCGTACAAGGACATTTTATCGTTCTTATGGCAGAAAAACCTTTCATCTTTGCCTCCTTAAACTCTCTGAAATGGTGTATCAGTTTGAAGAAGCCATTTAAATCAAAATAATGGTATTGTTTTCTTTATTTCCATAAATTATTTTATTGTGGCTTTAAAACACGACCCATAAAATACAACCTTACTGGATCTTTGACGATAAATATGAATTGATGGTCCACAATAAAATCTTTTGGTAACTGATTCATGTTCAGTTCGTTGTCTGAAATTGAGTAAATATGTATATGTTATGCAGAAAACTCTAAAATGTGTGAGAGTTTCTTACTGACCTGAATATTCACTACCATCGTCCGTCTTGCTGTTCACCTCAATAATTCCCTTATGCTTTAAATTTGATAGCCTCAAGCCCATTTTACGCGTCATACTAGTGAAGTCGGGATTTATGTAGAGCCTCTTTAGGCCCATAGACTGCAGGACACTGTTCAGACCAGTTTCATAACTAATTTTAAAACGTGGCATCTGTATGTGCACATTTGTTCGCTGAAATTTGGCATTAAGTGTGCGATAGTCCATTCTTAAGAGGAGGTTCTCCCAATGCTTTAGTTTGTCAGTGCGATGGTTTGGCAATATGATGAGCATGCTAAGATTGGAGTCTTTGTAGGGTATTTCAACACCTTTTGCACTAAGATGGGGAATGTCGCCGTAAAGTAACTCATCCGTTTTTCCATACATAACCACAGGCACATGTGCGACGGGCGTAAAGTAAAAGGGCCGTTGCAGACCAATCTTTTTAAACGGCTTTGCCCACTTACTCTTGAAGTAGAAGCCGTTAGCAAGGAAAAGAGTCGTGTATGAGCTTATATCGGCGGGTTGGACTGCATCTTTAAACTTCTTGTTGGTCTTTTCTTCGAGGAATTTGTTTATAACTTTTGCCACCTCTTTTGTATTCTCGAAATCAACACTCTCGGCCGTCGAATTCAAAAAATATTCTGCAGTTGCTTGAAAGTTTTCTTCTATTGGATACTTACTATCCAAGAAAATGCGATAGGCAATTTTTAGTTCCATGGCTTTAGATTCGATGTTCACATTTTTCCGAAATTCTGCTACGCTCAAGAATTTTGTCTCACCATGCAAGCGCAACACCCGTTTCAAATCGGCCCTTGTCTGACCTTCAGCTGCAATAAAAAGCATGGCTAATACACTTCGCACGGCAAGCGGTGAAATTATTATATTATCACGATTTTCCTTCAATGCCAGCTCGCTATAAAGTTGGCTTGCAAATAAGTTTGCTTGGGCAAGCCATAATGCACTTACAACCAACACCAGGCGAATAATCACTACAGATTATTTAAAAAGACATTATGTTAAATATATGTATAGGAATATATTTTTTTAACTTACGTAAATTTATTTCGCCTAGCATTTTCTCTCTGAGTTCTACTTTCCGACTAACATATGTCGAATATCATTCTATTCACTGGATTCGCTTACCTTAGCATGAATGTTGATAATTAATACTTAATTGGCTAATGGTATTAGTACCACATCTCCTAAATAAGTTCGCCACAGATAGGAAAGGCTAAAGTTTATACGAAACAAGTTAACACAAAGATACGTTTACAAATTCCTGTTTACTTTGTTATACAACAAGTGCATAAGATAAAGTCGGGTACCTCGACTTTGAAATACTCTGTATGTCACGTGTGCCTTTGCAAAGCAGCAACAAAAACAACAGCTAATCTAAACAAGAGAGGAATGCTAAAGTCGAGCGAGCTCAACTCTTAAATACCCTGTAAAAAAGCTAAAGTCGGGTGTCCCGACTTTGAAATACTTTGCTTAGAATAATTATAGAAATTAACAAAATTAAGAAAATTACAAAAAATTTTGATCCCTCTCGGTATTCGAACTCACGGAAAGGGTGTATAATTGCACATTTACATAGCAATTGCGTCTATGTGAGTGTATGCATGCCTATGGGCGTCTATTCGTGTCTGTGTGAACATGTTTGCAGTCAACCAAAGTACCAGCATGAGCAACAGCTGCAGGCAGCGCTTGGGCAGCAAATATATGTATATATGTATTAACTTCTTGTTAAATCGGTCTATCATAGTAAAACTTGGCATACGGACACATAATCACTAACAGGGGGTATTTGCAAAATTTGAGTTTTAAGAAATTTTAAGGATTACGGGAGTTAGAGAAACTCGCGATTTGTGGTGGAGAGGGGGTGGGAGGGAAATTCCAAAATGAACTTCAAATTTGGTTTTTGCGATCTATAAAAGAATAGAAAAACTGCTTACTCGGGTTTTTGAAATTTTTCTTGGAAACTGAATTATTGGGGTTTTTATATTTCGTCACATTTTTACAAATTAAAAGTATGTGTTATTAATGTTGTCCGATCGATTTCAAATTTGGGATCCGTAATCAACATAACTATATCTACAAATTGGCATTCAACGATTTTCGAAATATAGAAATATGTTTTTTACTTGCCATATGCAGCAACAATAAATAACAAAGATCGCAAAATATCAAACAGATAGGGACATCACATAAACACACGCAGTGACACACTCACAGACACAAACAGAGATGGGCAAAGTCGCCTTAAAATGGAACTGAGTTTTTTCATTGATCATATGCATAAATTATTTTTTAAATGCACCATTTATGTACAATTGTAGCCTTGATTGATTGGAAGGAAAGTCTAAAACTGAAGTGTTGAGACATTTAAATCTACACGAGATTGTATGATGAAGTCTCGGCCATTAGCCAATCGGCTGGTAATCTCAGAGCTGAACATGTAGAACAGCAACAGATGTAGAGCTACTCATATCCCCTGCAGAACAATGTAAGAAAAGAGGATAATGCTGCCACATACTATCATCTACAAAAATAACTTCTGTAATTCGTCTGGTGAACCGAAGATAAATAAAAACGATTAAGCTTCCGATTAACCGTTTTTAACGACTTGAAATAAGTTTTGTAAGAGATAGTGGAATATAAGAGCTTAGAAGGATTAAAGAGCTCATCTATGTTTTTCCCGATTATTTGTAATACAATAAGCATTATATTTTTATTGTGGTCTTATCACATGTCCTACAAAATACACCATGTAGGGATCCTTAACAATAAAAATGAACTGACGATCGACAATAAATTTTTTCGGAGGATTATAAGGATTATCGTCAATAGCTAAAAAAAAGAAAAAGTATAATTTAAATAATTTTAATATTAAGTTATTGAGCTTACTCGATCTCCCGTTATCATTATTTGTGTTGACCTCAATAACACCCTTCTGTTTTGTGTTTGAAAGCCTTAAGCCCATCTGGCGTGATAGACTGCTTAAGTCTGGATTCGAAAATAAACTCGACAGTCCTATAGCCTTAAGCACTTCATTGAAATCCATTTCATATTCAATTCTAAATCGGGGCATCTCTATATGAACGTTGCCTCTCCGAAAATTGTTGTTAAGCGTGCGAAAATCGACGGTGCGGAGAACTTGCTCCATATGCCTTAGGTTATTGTCATTCTCTTCGGGCAATATTATTAGCATACTTATATTGGAGTTCTTGTAGGGTATCTCGACGCCTTTTGCATTAAGTTCAGGTAGATCGCCGTGAAGAACCTCGTCCGTCTTGCCGTACATTGTCACGGACATATGTAAGCCCGTCATAACGTTATAAAACTTGCGAGTGCCAAGCTTCATGAAAGGTTTTTGCCACTTTCCACTGAAGTAGAAAGCACTAGCAAGAAAAATCTTTGTGTGCGAACTTATTTCACTTGAGGCAACAGTCTCCTTGAATTTGTTCAACATGTGCCTCTCAATCTGATTGCAAATATGTTTGGCCGCACTTTCTGGATTTTCAAAGTGCGCTGGTTCTACAGCTGGACCAGATAGATATTTCCATCCTGTAGAAATATAATGTGGGTCTATTTTAAACTTGTGGTCCACATATAGCTTCTGGCTAATTTGCATTGTTATATCTGCATTGGTTATGCTAATTTGTTTTTTGTGATCTTCTAAAATCTGAGTCTTAGTGTCACCGTGAAGATACAAAGTATTTTTTAGTTCAGCTGCTGCTTCACCTTCAGCCCCAATGTAAAGCAATATCAAGCCCATGCGCAAGGAAGCGGGGCATATGACTATATTCTCACGAACATATTTACTGGATAGCTCGCCGTATAGCTCGCTTACAAACAAATCGGCCACGCCCAGACTGAGAGCATTGATTATCAAGCCTAGCCTTAATGTCGCTGCGTTAAATGAGAAAGCGATGAACAATTTATTTATAATGTAATATGCTGGGTAATGCAACTTACATGCGCCCACACCGTTGGCCATTTTCCTTTTGAGTGATATTCCTTGTGACTTATTGTGAATGATTTCGTACCCTTTACCTTAGTGGGAGGTACATCGTTTTTGGCATGCAAGTTTGATACACCTTAAATGAAATATAAATGTTTATAAATTATGTTAAGAACCGGACAAGTCTATATGGATCGCCAGTCCACCCGTCTATTTTTCAGTATATTTAAAAAGTTTCGAGGTTTAACATTTATACGAGGGTTTGAGATGGTAGTGTCCTTCTATCCATAGGCCCTTTTCACGGTCCATTCGCTCGCAATTCATACCTCTATATCATAAAGTTCTCATATACACGAAAAGGCTCTAAAAAAGTCTACATGAACAATTTTTCTTTCTTTATGAACTACTTCGCCGATATATCAGAAAAAGACTGCTGTCAATGTAATATTACATTGTACCAATAAAAAAGAGCATTTACTCATATCTAATCGAATTCTGCAAAATTGGCTTCGCTCCAAGTACCGTCCAATTTAAGTCCACATAATCATAATAACTTGTACCTAAAAAGTTTCAGGGTATATTAGGTTTGCGCAAATTGACAAATTTAGGATCAAATTTTTAACAGATACCTAATATGTGTTCGCATTTCAAATTTGTTTTCTTATACACCTCCCCACTCCACGCTTACAAATGTAATGTCTGCCTTAGTTCTACCTGGAACTGTTGTTATTGTATGTAGCAGCTTTGTCTCAACTCAGTACTTTACACATACCGATGTAAATGTGGAGTCAAACACCTTTTACGTGAGTTCGAATCTCAAACGAGGTAATATCTACCAAAAAAATTATACATAATAACCTGTACCCAAAGGGTGAAAGGCTGTATTAGTTGAGTGCGAATGTAAGTAACTTACAGAAGGAGACATGGCAGACCCCACAAAGTATATACATTCTTCATGAGGATCACAAGACGAGTCGATATAGCCATGTCCGTCTATCTACGAGTTAGAATTTTTGTCGATGCAATATTTTGCAATATTTTTTATCATTAATATTGTAGAAGAACCAAATTAAGCTAATTATATGTAATATTTTAAAAAACAAAATACGGTTTATAAGGCATCTATAATTTTATTAATTATACATATTTTATTGTAGTTTTAACACCCTACCCACAAAGTATACCATATACGGGTCTTTAATGATATACATGAACTGGTGGTCTACAATGAAGTTCTTTGGCGTGTTGTTGAGATTCACTTCCAAATCTGAAAAAAAGGGTTATGATTTGTATACCTAGGATCTACAGTTTTTGCCGTTTTATTCACCTGCATGAACCTCATCGTTCGTCGCGATGTTAACGTCAATTATTCCCTTTTGCTTTATAGTCGATATCCTTAAACCTGGCTTATGGGACAGACTGCCAAAGTCTGGATTTGTAAATAAACTTTTCAGACCCATAGCGTGGAGCACTTCGTTGAGTTTGATTTGGTATTCAACTCTAAATTGCGGCATTTCTATGTGTACGATGGCTCTTTCGAAACGGTTGTTAACTGTGCGAAAATCGGTAGTGCGAATAGCTTTTTCCAAATCCCTCAAGTTTTCGGTGCGTTGGTTTGGCAATATTATAAGCATACTAAGATTCGAGGTCCTGTATGGTATCTCGACGCCCTTTGCATCCCAATCGGGCAGGTCACCGCAAAGTAGCTCGTCCGTCTTGCCATACATCATCACGGGAACGTGGTCAGACGGCGTAAAGTAAAAGGGGCGACGAATACTAATTTTTCCAAAAGGTCTTTCCCATTTTCCATTAAAATAGAAGCCAGTCGTCAGAAATAATTTCGTATGCGTGCCTATATCTACCGGTTGGATAGTGTCTTTAAATTTGTGCGCGGTATGCGCCTCAATGTAGGCGCTCATATGCTTGGCCGCTGCTTCCGCGTGGTCGAAATTAACGTTTTCAGCCGCTGTACGGAAATGTTTTATCGCTAAAGATTGGTATGCGCCCTGTATAGGAAAATTGTGGTGCACATATAGCCGATAGGCTAATTTTAGTTCTACATATGGCGTATGAATGTTGAGATCTCTGTCAAAGTCGTCTAAAACCATATTCTTTGTATCCCCATGAAGATACATGACATGTTTCAGATCCGCAGCTGCTTCACCTTCAGCACCAATATAAGCCATTCCCAAGGCGCTGCGAAGGGCAGAAGGTGAAATGACTACATTGTCACGATTCTCCTGCATTGCCAATTCACTGTACAGCAAGCTAGCGAATAAGTCGGCCTGAGCCAGGCCTAAAACGAATATAGTTGCTAATAATGCAACCACTGCAGAAATTTAGAAGTAAAATATACATATAGTAGTATTTAAACATTAACAAGTATACTGGTTTTTAATGCCGAAATGGATTTAATATGCCTTGCCCTTTCTGGCATGGTTCTTTATCTATGATGTATTGATGATTTAAAAAACAACTGAGTGTACTTACACATGACTTTAAATTTAAAAACTCAAGTACAATAAGAAAATAAATTTCAATGTTAATCAAAGACTGTATGCTACATTGAGAGCTATGCCAACTAATATTCAAAGTGCGAGGAAACACAACCTAGAATTGCATTTGATCCGCCTGATTGAAGGTATTTGTTATAGGCAACCAATTTCTCATGCCATTACGCGTTCACTATGAGAATCACAGAGCAACGTAACGAATGGGTCGAAGAAAAGCAAAATAAAAAGCACAGCTTAAGGACTCTCGGTTTCTGTGCCAATTCAAAGGTTTAAAGGCAGCTCGCACACAACAAATGCCACTATGTTGACAATTTTATTGACAACTTGACTTTTAGATTGATTGCAGTTCCCAAACTGTTTGCATTTTTTCCGAGCTGCAGCAATTAATTAAAAGTTTTTCTAAATTGTTGGCTCGTGAATAAAAAAATGGCAAAAACTGTTTCGTTGCATTCCCATCACTTGCAATTTTTCTTTAGTTTTCTTAAGCTCTTTTCCTTATTGTTGGATAACAATCTCACTTTAGCATTACTTGGATATACAAAAACGTTTCCAAGTTTGCTGTTCATTTAACATTTAAAAAAAACTCAAACGGTAAAAGATTTCAAACTCAGAGTCTATAATTAAACCCAATTTGAGGGCATTCCTAACAAATCTTTTGTTAATTAAAATCTGAAGAGTTGCTATTTTTTCGATAATTATCGAACTACTTGCTTAAGTTAGAAGCTTCATGAAATTGATTTGGGTTCTACATAATAATAATTTTGACTCCTAACTACATAAATAAGGAATTCGCATTAAACAAATATCGGGTAGTGATCATAGCAGATCATAGCATCTCGAGAGAAACTTTTTTTGGAATATGAATATGTCACGCTTAATACCTTATATGATAGTTTATTTTTGGTCCAATATTTGTAACGCCCAGAATAGGAGTAGAATACCATGTTATAGGTATATTAATGATTAGCTTGACGAGACAAATCGATGGTGCCTGACTGTCTACTTGTTTTCAAACTAATCTCAGTTTTAAAGTAATTTGTTACATATCACATTACACGTTGATTAAGAATATATATACTTTGTGGGGTCTGCCACGCCTCCTTCTACATACATTCGCACAAAACTTACCCTTTGGGTACAGGCTATAAAAAGCCCTTGCCCACATACTTATCTGTAAGTCCTTAAAATATGCACTATAAACAACATCAATATCTGACATTCACAACAATGCCAAAATACACCCCACCTAGATTATATACTATATAGTACACGTCTGCATGTTGACAATTGCAAATCGTGCTGCTATTGCAATGTTTGTGTGCATGTCTCAGTGTTGGTGTAAATTATGCATACAAATTAGAGTCTGACGTTATAGAAGTGAAGTAAACACAGAAATGTGGAATAATAACATTAATGAAAACACGTTGATGATAGTGCCCGGCAGGCAGACAGCAATACGGGCAAACAGCTGCAGGATACAATAGCAAGCAGAAAATTAAACAGAACAAAGCAAAAGCGCGCACAGATGTTGGCAGGATACAGACGCACACACTCACACTGTGATACACACATACGTGTATATGGTACTATACATACGTCGACAACAATCGCAGTGCGCATCAAAACAAAACAATTTTCATGTAGACACATACACATGTGCTACTCATCGCATTATAAATTTGCCTGGCAGGACCAAACGAACAAACTTCCTGTAAGCCTTGTCGGTTAGCAACTTTACATCAAAGGGAGACATTCTCTTGTCACAGCTTTTATATGTTTGTGTATATGCAGCTGCTAAGTAAGTAACGCAGATGAAGGCGCTCATAACACTGCGAGTGCAAGTCAAAAATTTCTTAGAGATAAATGTTTGGCCATCGAACCCAAACAACATACTAATTCCAATTGTCCAACATATGTAGTATATGAGAGAGAATAGTTAGAAAATGAATGTACACAAATGTACTATCGTTTAATGCATAGTAACTAATGGCAATGCTTTTGTTAAAGGTTCTTTTGTAGGCTACTTGTTGCAAGAATTTAATTAGAGTTTTTCCTACGTTCGGGTACAGGGTTTATTATTGCTTTTCATTTCGTCATCCATGGTCACAATTCGCGACCCATGCCAGATGCAACACCAAGTATGAATCCAGGGTTCTCAATGATTTAATATATTTTATATCACTTTCTAAAATAGATCATTTCTATGATAGCTATATGAAGTAGTGATCTGACTTGGTAGCTTTAATTCTTAAATGGAGAAAGGTACCTAAAATCGGCATGTCAAGACAAAGTGATGTGATAGCCATTTAGTTTTGTCAGTTTTGTCTTTGTATGTCAAAAGAGTATTTTTATAGCTTAGGTAAATTTAATTGGTTTTAATTTAGATCTACAATGACTTCATTAAAGAATGTTAAGTATTATTCTGAGAGAAAATGGGCATGTATTTCAATTATTTTTAATTTTAATTATTTTACTGTGTAACATAGGGGCGCTGAAACGATATCTTGAAGTTAAAAAACTAACTTGGTTCGGAACTTCAATATGAAACTCTTTTATCAATGCATACTATCTACGTATCAGTACATATCTCCTAAAAAAGAGAATTTCAACCGGTATAAGCGAAAAATAACGTTGCAATAACTTTTACAATTTGGATTTTGAACTGTAATCAATGAAGTGATTGGTGATTGATAAATTTGAATAAATCAAATTTGACGATATGCAAGAAACAAATTTGACTTTTACAAAAAAGAATGCTACAGTCGAACAAATCTGACTCTGTACCCAGCCGAACTTGCGGCACTGAACTATATGCGCCGCTAGTAGAAGCAATAAGAAGAAGAGCGAACTTGATCAAAAAAATAAAATGAACTAGTATAGACTAGGGACTGGGAGCATCCATATACCATGTTTGGTTGATATGCGGTTAGCCGTTTCCGAAATCCAGGCGTTCATCCACACGGACAGAAGGGCGGACATTTCTCGATCGAAGTCTTTTGTTATGCTTAATGCATACTTTATGCCTCATTCGGCCTGTTACATATGTACTTTGCACAAACCTAATACATACACCCTTTTTACACCAAAGTTGGGTTCTGAATTTTCTAACGGCACCTATCCCACTCATAAAAATACACATGTAAATTTAAATACTATGTATATTTATAGATTTAAATATTTATACCCTGTACCCATAGGATCCGTTTTTCCTTACGGGCATAGGGAAGCATCATATTACATTTAAAATGTGTATTTAATCACACGTGATTGATTCACGCCAAAGGTTTCTTTAAACATGTATGTAATTATAGAACATTGTTCCCACTACTCTACTAAATACAGGATTTACCCTTTACTTTGTTTTGAATATTATTGTTTAATATTAGAACATTGAATTCAATATGAAAGTATTCGTTTTACTATGGAATTTCTTGTTGAACATTAAATTTCCTAAACTACAACATTTTCAACTATGAACCACTCAAGCCTATTTCGAGACTACTCAATAATTCTCAGTTTGTGTTGGTGCTTGTGGTTTGTCAAACCGCTGCAGAAACCACAGACGTTTTGAGCCACAAATGATGCTAACCCAACCAGATATACTCGTATTTGAGTCAAAATAAAGTCAGGCAAGACTCGACTAATGCCTGGGCAAAAAGCCTTTAATCAAAATCAGCTCTGCTCCTATTTGAGGCACCACAAATTGTTATAAAATGTTGCACGCTCATTGCCACCGCAAATCTTTTATTTGACTTTGAAACTCTAAAGGCGCTGCGACTCGGCATGACTTTGACTTTAGTCGTAAACATAAAATGCCAACATTTTTCGATATGCTGCAAAAACGGCAGGTTTCCCTTTGCGGCTTTGGACTTTTTAGGTGACTGCTCCTTTTTGATGGGAAGAGACACTTTTAGAACTTTTTTAATTAATTATTGCAACCGCAACGTGAAAAAGGCACAACTGAAGTTGTTGCAGTTAAATAAAGTTTAAGTTGTCAAATGGCAGAAGGAAGCAAATGAATTTTCATTCCATGGGGCAGAATACTCCGATGGCAACCACATCTAACACATATTTCATGAAATATGGCTGAAGGGATGCCGGCGAAAAATTTAATAAATCCCGAAGCAGTTGTTCTTTGCCTTCTCTGGGACGCAGTCACGTGCCCATATATGCGTGCTGCGATAAATACTTTCCACTGCTTTACAAATGAGTCACACATAGTACACATACGAGTACATATGCCTTAGTATATGTGAATAAATACATATTCGAATGCTTTCTTCCCGCCCTCTTCACAAATATGCGCCTAATAAAGCACAACTGCCTTACCAGATGTGTTCTTGGTTCTTCAAAGGCTTAAAATTCTAGCACGTAAAAAGTTTTGTGGCAATTCCCAGTCTCAACATACATACATACAAGTATACAAGTATGTACAAAATATGTTTGTACAAATGTGTACGCAGGAACACGCACTCACACATCCATATGTTCGGCACAGCTGTTGCGTTTAACGCGACATGTGTATGCGTGATATTCCCAAATTCCTCATACTTTATGTGCTTCATACATATATATACATATATAGTATAAGTAGTATGTGCCTTTTATGACATCATGTGCCACAGACAAATGTCAAAAGTGGAAAATAATTGTGAGTGTCATTCCATAATTTTAAAAAATCTTTTGTAAAGTAATCCATTTTATTATAAAACTAAGTATGTACACTTTTCGAATAACAACAAGAGAGAACGCTACAGTCGAGCAAGCCCGACAGTGTAATACCCTGTACCCAGGTAAACTTCCGTCACTAAGTTATATGCGCCCATAGCAGCAGCAAAAAGAGGAAGAAGAAGAGCGAACTTGTTGCTGCAGTTTGGGGGGGTTGTACTGGCGAGAATTTGTTTCGCTAATAACTTTCCTTAGAATTGACCAAATTGAATAAAATTTTAAAAAACAGTAGACAATTATATATAAAAAATGTGTGC